GTATAGCATCTATTGCACAAGGTCTCCCATTCAAAGCCCAGCAGTGCTTAGCTAGTAATAACAATCAAGAATGGCAGTATTTCTGAGTTTTTGGCCATATGTTTTAAATAACATTGGTGAAATTTAAGTGTCACTTCAAATTTAAATGATAGAATTAAATAGATTTACAGTATATGTAGTTCAAGTGGGTTTCACACACCTGAAGAAGACTTCACAATATGTTTCTTTTCTTCTCTTCTCAGCATGGAATAAACCTTTACTTGTTCCTTTGTAGATTTATATGTACAGTATAAAAGTTCAGTCAGAATTATTTTTATATGTGTAATTGGTGTGGTGTGTTTCAGCAAGAAGAAGATGCAAATCAGTAGGTTGGCCCTGGTGCTGCTTCTGCAAATCAGCATCGGCACTGCAGAAGAAGTCCATCCAGAGGTCCTGAGGAAGCTCGTCAAGGAGTAAGTATATGGATATAAAGGTCATTCTGTGAGATTAAAGCAAAGATAGAGATCCATTGAATTTGAGATACTTTACAACACAATTTATTTTTTACACTCTGCTGTGTGATATATTTATTATCATTTGCGATAGTGGAATGGTTATACTATACCTACATTATCATTAGTTGACTTTCAGTTTTAAGCAGTGAAATTGATTGCATCGTACAGTCATTCTGGTTGAAGGGTAAGTGTGAATGCCCTCATGGTTATATTAGGTACAAATATAACATTATGACTAAATGCCAGTCAAAAGTCCATGCACATTCTTCTGCATTAAACATTGTAACAGTTTTCTTAAAGTTGCAGTTCAGCTATTGCTAGTGTAACAGTAGGCAGGTAGAAAATATGGATCCTGTGCAGGACTCAGGAGAGAGATAGAGAACACCATTCCAAATTGCTAAACAAAATGTAATTCAGGAAACAAGCAAGAAGGTCAGAAAATGAGAGAGACAACTAGAGAGCAACAACCCGAAACTAAAGACTAAATTGTAAACGAGGGGCAAGCTAGAAGGTCAGATACCAAATATAAACTAGTCAAGAAATAACGCACACCTGGGAGCCCGAGGAGAATCCGCTATAGTGAGCATGGAAGTGAGGAAAGAAGGGAACTGAAATAGTGACGGGGGTGAATGGTGATGCTGCAGGTGCAATACCTGCCACATGAGCGTTTGTAACACACAGTGCGCATGGAAATGCGAGACAGGTCAGAGATGCGTAACAGGTAATTTGTAGTTGCTATCATTGCACAATGTAATAGGTTTTTCATATAGTCAAATGATCATTGGTACCTTTCAATTCGGAAATAATTTCCTATCTCGAATAAGGAAATACCACATGACATATTTTTTGCTTGATGGCAGCTTTCCATTAGTAAGAAATCATGTTTGATCATTTTAGAAACGCAAACTGCAAAAGAATGAAGCTTACAAGTGGAGAACTGGGAACAGATGGATATACAATCACTATAAGGAAAGACGGTCACACTTCAAACACATAACATTACAGCCTCAAAATTAATTCATCCCTAAAACAATGAAGTTCAAGTTGATGATTAAAAGGATTATAGGACTAATGGTTTGTTTGAGATATTAAGAAAAAACTGCAGGTAGAGAATAAAATATGATGATGCAGAAAT